AGCCAACTGGTTGCCTCCTCAAGTTTTTTTTATAATTTCCTGTTATGTTCTATTTGCATTATTTGTCTCATTATTTGGAGGCCTGTAAACTTGCTGGAAAAGCTAAGTCCGCTTCCACTTTAAACAACCCTTTAAACCTTTTTTAAGCCTTAACAACTTAGAGCCCATCCTGGCACCTTCCCTTCTCAAATTCAAAGAGCCAAAATCTTTCAACAAGTGACCTTTGTTAAAAACACTTCCAGCAACCAAATTATCACCTACTAAATCACATGACCTTTTGGAGTTAGATTCAGGGAACACATTTCCAACACTAAAGCAACAACAAAGACAGTGGGGGAACCCCCTCAAGTATTCATGACACGCCCTGGATATCACCTCCTCCTCAATAATTGCAAGGGAAGATGACATGTTTAAATTAAGTGTCATGGACAACATTGAAATCCAACATTGAATATGCCAGTTATGAGATTCCATGATCTATGGAACTGTTCATCACTTGATTCACAGTATAAATCACTTCAAAAAAAAGAGAAACATAAAAATTCACTCACTTGATAAAGACTCCAAGATGGAATGGAAAGTTTGTGTCTTAAGAAAGGTTTTCATTAAGCAGGGTTGTCATTAAGAGCCGGGGGCCAGGGATTTTCCCCGGCTACTAAGAGAGTGGTCCCCGGCTACTTTTATTGGAAAATACAAGAAAAATAGAACCAAAAGAAATCCCTAGCCATTTGATTCCCCGCCTACTTGTTGTATTTACCCGGCAACTTGAAATCTTAATGACAACCCTGTTAAGTCTAAAAGCTCGTTTATGTGTGTTCTGTTATAACCTAAAATTAATCATCTCTCACCGAATATTTGACTTCCAAGTACTCTGATGTCACAGGAACATCTTGAATCTCAAATGCATAAGCCTTTTGGACTTTCTAGAGACATAAGTTACACACACTCATCAACAGAACTGCATAAAAGTGACATCAAAATTATTAAACAATCTGAATTACCCTAGATATGAACTTCATGATCTTGTGCTTTGTTGCAATCTTATCATTAAACTCCTGACAAAGAAATAACAAGAAAGTGATGAAATTTAGCACCCTCAATGTCATGGCTATTGTACTATGATCACCATGGGAAGACTAAAAAGTGACCAACATCAATTTTCTCCTGACGAGATCATTGCACCATCAAGAGAAAACATCAAGAAAATTAATAACTTCTTAAGGTAAAATCCTTTTATCTTTTACTCTCTCTCTCTCTCTCTCTCAAGTAATTCTTTGATGGAATATATGGAGATCAGTAGAGAAAATTTTGTATGAGGAGATCGGTGAACCTCAATGTGTAGTTCCAGAAAATATCCAGACCCCCACCACGGAGGGAATTTCACTTAGGACCCCCCCACCTCCCTGGATTTTCCATTTTTGCAGGGAACTGATGACCCCCCACCCCTTCGGAATTTCCACAAATGTGACAAAGACCCCCCAACCCCTCTGGAAAAGTTCATTTTCACGAAGAAAGACTATTAAAGTAGAAGCATGAGGCAACTTATGGTTAGTATCCAACTGTTTCCATCAGAAGCTTGTATGCTTCTGTATCCATTTATTTGAGTGATCTCGCAACATTAAAACACACTACACCACCACAAAGTAACCTGATCTGTAATTTTTGCTCATCTCTTACTTTAAATGAAACAGAGAAAGTTAACAAGTCGGTTATATTTGTGAATTCACCTTAATCAGGGCAAGCTTCGATTTGTTATTCGTCTGATGGGCGTAATGTTGATAGAATTAACGCCATTTCGTGCGGGAATGCAGAACAAGTCAAACTTACGACCACAAAATTAATGCAAAACAAAGAGGAGAATAAAAACTCTGAATTCTGAAATGATAACAATGAATACCCCCTGCATCTTGAAGATACTTGAAGGGAAACCAAGTTCAATTTACTGTTTTTCGATCGACTGATGCGACGTGATGCGCGATCGCCGTAATAAATGTTTGGTGAAATCGACACCATTTCAGCGAGAATTCGATCAAGAACATGCCACACGTTCAACCACAAAATTAAGGGAAAATGAAAAGGAGAATAAAAACTCTTCATTCTAAAATGGTTACAATGTATAGCTTGTGCTTCGTGAGGCAAAATTGCCACTCTTCTGATCTATCGATTGACTGACGCAACGTTTTGTGTTGCGTGATGTGTTGCATGCGTTGATGTTTTGGGGAAGACTGGTAACGAGTAATGGCGGCCGTTTGAGCATGCGATAAAACGAGTTGTAGTCGGTCTAATTCCTTTGAAATTACATCCAAAACGCTTTTGGAAGAAAGGAAACCTGGTTAAGTTTAAAAGGAACAATCTTAAGTGATATATTTCAAGTTATTTATGTCCTAAAAATGATCTACCAGGTCGGTAAGAAGCAATGTTCGATCTCAGGTCGAAAACAAAATGATATTGCCCCCCTGGAAAGTGATTTTATGGTCCAACCTCCCTCCCTTCTGGAATTTCCTGGGCCTCTGACCCCCCCACCCCCCTGGAATTTCCAATTCCCTCCGTGGTGGGGGTCTGGATATTTTCTGGAACCACACAATACCCATTTTAATATGTGGAAGTTGGCCGCCAAGGGTGAGGGTGGGGGAGAGGGGTATTAGTCAAGAGAGCACCATGCTTTACTAGTAAAATTTAAAGGAGGGGGGTTAAATATCAGGGGGGGAATTATTAGAAGGACTACAGCAGCAGATCCAGAAAATTCAGAAAGGAGTGGGCAGGACACTTAACAGCTCTATTCTAGATACTTTTTATTTTTCTGAGACGAAATTCTATAAAAATAATATTAATTTTCAAAGGAAAAGGGGTGGTCGCGGCCCCCTTGGTTCACCCCTAAATCTACCTATGGAATACAGTAATCAGAATGACTATGATTAAAATCAAATCATTATTTTTTTTTACCTGGTAAACATCAATAAACCCAACAGGCTCATCAGTTTCAGAACAATCAACTTTAAGCTTCTAAATGATACAAAGTACAAAAACATCAATTAATTTAGTACATTGTTGGAACAGGTACAGATAATATTTGAAAAGACATGCAAGAAGAACTCAACAACTGCAGCAATGTTTTTACATCCATCCTCTCAACTTTTCTCTTGGGAGAATAAATATTTGTCTCTCAATGTTCTTGACTGCCACTGAACAGCTAATACGAAAAAAGATAAATTTTTAATTAGCGGTTGCAAGTCCACTAAGTGTCCTTCTGGTTTCCCATGTGGGATTTCCGAACTTATTTAAAGAGAAAAACAAAATGCAGATAAACAGTAATCACCTCACATATGCTTTTGCAGCTTCAATCCAAACCTTTCCAAAAAGGTATACAGTACCTGTAGGATAGAGAATAATTCACAGATCATTCAAAACTTACAGGGAACCTAGTGATTTTCTTAATAATTCAACTGTCAAGCAACCTTGACCAACTCTATCTGGTTGTTTGAATCTGTCTTCATAATTGCATCAAACCAGTAGAATTTAAGGAATTTTTCCCCTGAGAGGAGAAAGAAAAGATGATCCTTGTAAGAACAATTGGAGTGGGCAACAAATTTAGTACTTAAAAATTTGGCCAGAACTGGCATCACTAGTCAGACATTCTTGCAAGATTCCCTAGTTTCTTTCTGTGTTCCTTTTATATGTTGGCCTTTATCAAGCCTTTCTATCAAAATGTTAGCTCTAGCAGAGATTTTTGCACTGTGGATGAAATCCCGTCTGACTGTTCAACCTCTTAAGCAGTACTTTTACATAGGGTTGCTAGTTTTCCATCTTCTTGGAAAGCGAAATGTCAGGAGTCTTCTTGAATTTTTATTTTGCCCATCTTGAGAGCATAACTGGAGGAGGCCTACATTTTCACTTTTTAATAATTTCAAGCTTGAAACTTGTTGATTGCTGATATGTTCACTAACCATCTACTTCTTTGAGTGGAAGAGAAGACGAATCCACATTAACATCTATCAAAACCTACAGTAGCACATAAAAAGAGAAAAAAAAATTACAATGTAAGCAGTTAAACCCTGTTAATACAGGCACTGAGGGGGCCATAGAAAGTGACCGTATTAACAGGTTGAAATTAGAGAAGACGTAAGGGCTTTCATTCGCCAGGGGCAAAACAAACTGTCCGTAATAACAAGGTGTCCACATTAAGCAGGTGTCCATTATGCAGGGTTTGACTGTATGCAACTTAAACAAAATTTGTTTAAAACGAACAGGAAACAAATTAAAGCTATACCATACTTTTCTTAGTCTCCCTCGCATTTTTTTTTTTGGATGTCACGCAATGCTTCCCTAAAAGTTCTTTTGGGGGAGCGTTATGTGACATCCAAAAAACGGCTGCGAGGGAGACTATACTTTTCTCCGTATTGTGATGAAGTAATACAGAGAGGGGCTTCTCATTCTGGAGAAAGAGATATGATGTCATTTTTATATAATTCAAAAAAGACGCTTGACTTCTTGTGCAATGAAAGGCAGGGAGGTGACTAAGAACAAAACACATTTACAAGAATCTTTTGACAGTTTTATACCTCTTGTTGTTGTGAATCTTCATTTCCTAAGATAGTTTCCCATCCTGAATCACCAGGAAGTTCTGTTGTTCTGCAAAGATCCATGTACTTATAATTGCTAAATTACGTTTTTTCATGATATCAAGATATTTTGAGGGCTAGACTGCAGAGAAAGCGTAATTTTTCAGCATTTTTAGGCGAGGAAAGGCAAGCGCAAGGCAGGAGTGGAATGCAAAGCCTCCCACCATCACTTTATTACAGATAATTAAATAAAAAGGAAATCATTATTATTTAGCAAACTAGGAATATCCAAAAATGTCCAGCAGTGCTGTGGACAGTAGTTTTGTCTGACTGTGCCCAAAACACAAGACAAGAACCTCTAAATCAGCCAGTTATTTCCTGAAAGCGGTCATGAAAACCAAATGGTACAAAGGTATCAGCTCAACTAGCTGTAACGTAATCATTTCTTTGTTCAACAAAAATTATCTGCTGACAAGATCCAACAAGTTCCTGTGACTTTGCTTCAAAACACATGTGACCACACCCTTCCCTTGACTTCAAAACACAAACATGACAATTATTACCTCCAGCCCCAACAAGGTTAAAAAGTCATATGATAATAATGCATTATTATTTCTCAGAAATATTTAAATTGTTTAGTGATGTCAATGAATGGCAAAATAAATATCATAATAGAATTGCATACTTCTCTGGCATAGCGCATCTTCTGTCATTTGGTTTCTCACTGGCCTTAACCTGAGAGGATAATTAAAGAAAAGTATATGAAGTACTTCTGATTGTTGAATAGATAGAGAAGTGAGTCAAGAGATCAACAAAATTTGACTGTAAAATAAAGGTGATCTTAAAAAGTTGGTCAGAGACTGAGAAGAATGATTAATTTTTTAATTTTACAATTTCTTGGAAAAGATGAATTCAGTAACTTAAAAAGTTTTTTGGTTTAAGTTTAAGGGAGTCTAAACTAAATTGTAGGAAAACAATCAGGTTGCTTAAGCCTGAACCTGCTACTTAGATTATTTTGAACAGGCTGGTGTCCTACAAAACAAGGTTAACCTGGTATTGAATCAATATGTTTAAGCAATATAGAATCGATATAGTAGGGTACCTTGATGAATAACCAGGTATTGAATCAGTATTGAATCAATATAGTATTAAGTACCTTGATGTGAGGTTTTACATCATGATTCTTTTCTGCATTTGATAAAGCCTGGAGAGTTTCTTCATTGCCAAGATCATCATCATCATCATCAAAGTCATCAAAACCAGCATCATACTCTGGCATGTAATCATATGAAGCAGGAACATCTAGCAGAGATTTTTCTGTTATTTACACATGTATGATTATAATTAAACTAAACCATGTTTAATGACAGCTCAGAAAAAGTTATTAGTATTGGCTGACATAATGGCCAATACTCGGTCAGTGTAATGGTTGACTATCTGTTGACATGTCAGTTAAGTCTTGGCTAATAATTATGTTGGTTGACATAAGTTATACCCATTCATCAGACAGGTTGACATATCAGCCGACGCGCAGCAGACACTCAGTCAACATGTTGGATGACACACCAGCTGACATGTGTGCCACGAAGCGGCAAAACACATTGGCTGAGTGGTGGTTCATATGTGCACAACACGTCTATGTTGGTGACCAGTCCAAAGAATGTCAGCTCATAGTGATGACCAATACTGATCTTCCTAACTGTGCCCAAAGATCCAATTTTACTTGCCCAGAGCAGTTTCATGGTTGTCTTAGTCTGTTTCATTATGCAAAGAGGACTTGACTGGGCTGCCCATGACGCAAGTCAACAAGGAAAGTTACTTATAACTAGCAGGACTAATTTCCCGCCCTGCGAGTGTACACTTTGCCTTTAATAATCTGATGACAAAATTCTATCTTTTTTATCTTCCATCCCTGTATCCATATCTGTCATTTCAAGTTTTTCCTCTCTGATTTTTTCTCCAACCATTAGCCACCCTACTTTCTTTCTGTTCTATCACATGGCTCAGTTTTTACAGCCACCACAGATCTTATCTTTGCTGTAATGTGACTGGGTTTTGGTGGGGAAGTAGGCTCCTGTTTGAAAAGGGGTACTCTTGGGTTAGATGATTCCTGTTGAATGAATTTATTAGCAAAATCACTGGAGGGAGTATTCAGTGAACTTTCTATAAACCTCAGCACTCTGCTTTCAAATGGCATCTGCCTTGCAGAGGGTTTAGGAGTGGATAATTAGCGTGATAAGTAGAAACTGTGCCATTCATCTTATAAGAGACCTTGGAGGTTGTGGGAGGCAGGGGGAAAGGTTTTCATGCCAAACTACAAAGTATAAACAAAACAAGATGCTTTGGGTCAATATGAGTATAAAGCCAGAACAATAATGTTTACAATGTTTACAATTAACGTAAAGTTATTGTATTTGTTGCGAAAAGGTAAGGACAAAACTATGCTTGTTACCGAAGATTTCTGGAGTCGAAGTGACTCCCTCCGTAACCTCAGTGGAGTCATTTGAACAATTTTGGCGTAAAATACGCCAAATTTGCCATATTTGCGAACCTTGGACCCTACATCTACCCACCCAACCGTTTGTCAACATCACAGGGCAACTGTGAAACATCACACTTTCTAGCTACAGTGTAGTGTAGGAGCCCCCAACCCATGTTTCACTCAATATCTTTATAAAGCTATTTTACACTGTAGCAGGGGTAAAATGATTTAGGAGTGCACTTTTGCTGTTAACGCTTGTCGCTGAAGTTTAAGCACAAAGGCGATGAACTTCTCACCATCATCAATGACCCAGTCCTCTTCCTGTCGCTTACGGACAATGTCTGAGTATTCATCTTCATTTACCACCTGATAAACATCAGCCACTTCACCAACCTTGAATAAAAGAATGAAAGCATGGTCTATAGCTACATGCATACATCAATACCACGTCAGCTTTCGGGCGAAAACATGATATCTTCACATGTGAAAATAACAAGTTATCTTCACGTGTGAAAAGATCACCGCTACTGTGGCTACATGATAAATCACGTCTTTCAAAGCAAAAAAATATTAAAGTAAAATGGTTTGGTATTTCATTGATGTTTATTTTAAGCCTGGGGGGGGGACTCCCATATGAAACAGACGGGGATGCTCGTCGTCTCGCTTAGGGGTGTAAATTTTGGATTTTGGTCTCGCTTAGGGTGTTCTGGGCAAAGCGCCAATATTTTAATTATAAGCCGCCAGGGTCTTCTCGTTCAGGGTTCTGCGAAGAAACACAGAATTACGCGAAGAGAAACAGAAGTCAAATTTTCTTTTTAACTTGTTTTGTTTACCGCATTACCTCTGTGATTATAAATCAAGTGCCAAAGAGACAATGCATGAACATGATGAAGAACTTGAGATTTATGACAATGCTTTTAAGAACTACTTTTAGATAAAAGCATTCGATGATTATGTCTTTATATCATTAAAACTCACTGCATGTCGTATTTGAGTGTTTTTAAGCGGTCTCTTTTAGGGGTCAAAATTTGCTTAAGCCACGCCCAGATTGGTCTCCCTTAGGAGTCACAAAAAGCTTGAACCACGCCCAGATGGTCTCCTTTAGGGGTTAAATTCAAAATTTCCGACGAGCATCCCCGTCTGTTTCATATCCCCCCCGGGATTTTAAGGTGGCTCGACTGGATTTTTTTGGCGGGATACCTCCCACGCTTGAGCATTAACCACGTCGGCATGAGTAAAGATATGGGAAAAAGGTTACCACAACTGTATTATATAAAGATGAAAATATCTTATGATCTGGGTTTTATTGCAATCGGAGTCGCCATGGCAACATAATGACACCATTACGCTTTTTATTTATCTTTGTGTTTCTCTGTACCAGGAGTTTTTTGAAGAAACCGCTCAAGGGAGTATGTACCTGCCATATAATTGCCTCCATTATGGCAAAGTTTAAACAAATTCTATGAGAGCGTTTTCGAAATATTTTGACACACAGTTTTAACAATCATAAAAACAGTGAAATAGCATGCTATCCACACAATTCACTAATATTTTAAGAAACTGATAAGGTTTGGAAATGCGGCTTCATACCATAGTGGTTTAATTCCATTGAAAACTGCATACAAAATGAGAGGGGAATTGCTCTGAGCGATCGCGAGTGAGAAGAATTTTATTAACTTGCATTCACCTGCTTTTGATACAGATTTTGGACATAATTTGTTCCATGCTTACAAGTTTTGCATTTTTCAAAAAACCGCTCAATAATTTTTTTTATAAATTCAACAATCTCGAGATCAATCGTCAATAAATATTCCTTGCAAGTTTCAAGAACATTGAAAACAGGGAAGGCTTTTAAATAGGGACTCAAATATAACCAATTTTCCCCCCAGATTTTGTGTTTATAAGTAAGCATCCTCTTTATGCACTGGCATTGTTTTCAAGTTTCATATGTATGTGCACAACTAGCAAAAGATATAAATTTGCATCTAAAAGAACTCTCAATTACTTTCCGAAGAAATATCAGGAATATGCTAATAATTGGCTTGCGTCACCGATTGCAATGAGAGCCGAAACGGTGAACATCATCGCTCATCATGTAGGATGCAATACTCTCATACTTAATTATCTTACTCGGGTTATAATATCACAGAAACTCTTACAAAGAATTGCTCTAATGTTATAATGTATCACTAATCTCTTTACCCGGTAACTAGAATATTCCGGACATTTAACCGAGGGTCCTTTTTGATGCAAATTCTATCTTTTTGCCACTCCTCCTGGTTCCCCTTAGTTCCTAGTGACTGGGGGATAGGGGCCTCACCCCTGGAGACTGATCAGGACTCCTGTCCAGGGTGGCTACCCCTGGTATCACTCAATCTTGTCTCCCCCCCCCCCCTGGAGGGCTTCTCTCCTGGTCCCGTTACCCCTATAGTTAAGTGCTTCCCTGCCACCAGAATTTTGCCAATTACTTTTGTGTGTTTTCTGTGTACCACTGCCAATTGGAAAGTTTATTAAGGCACAATTCAGTCCAAATTTCTCTGAACATTTT